TATTGGTTAAAACCTGAAAACGAACTAATTTGTTATATAACTTATGATTACCAATATTCTTTTGTTTATTCTAAAAATTAATTTATGAAAAAAATAACAGAATGTTGTTAATGTACTTCAGAAAGTATCGGTAAACATGTGATGTAATATCTCGTGGAAACAGATATTATACTTCTGACCCTCATAACAAATGTAACGAAAATAGTTGTTGCAGTGGTTCAACCAATTTAGTACTCAACACTCAATAAGATTATAGACTAATATAAACCTGATTACAAATTATGGTTAGCACTGAACCTTTATCAACCAACTTAAAACCCAACACTCAATGAGGTTATAAACTAATATAACCCTACTTACAAATTATGGTTAGCACTGAACCTTTATCAACCAACTTAATACCCAACACTCAATGAGGTTATAAATTAATATAACCCTACTTACAAATTATGGTTAGCACTGAACCTTTATCAACCAACTTAATACCCAACATTCAATGGGGTTATAAATTAATATAACCCTACTTACAAATTATGGTTAGCACTGAACCTTTATCAACCAACTTAATACCCAACATTCAATGGGGTTATAAATTAATATAACTCTACTTACAAATTATGGTTAGCACTGAACCTTTATCAACCAACTTAGTACTCAACACTCAATAAGATTATAAACTAATATAACTCTACTTACAAATAATGGTTAGCACTGAACCTTTATCAACCAACTTAATACCCAGTGTTATACAATAACACTGTGATTTATTTTTTAAATTACTTTTCGCATCAGCATTTTTTATTTATTTTTTGTGTGTGTCACAAAGCTACCAACACAAACATAAACTGAAAATGATACATTAAAAAAAAAGAGTTATTTAAAGCACTAATGTTTTTAATTATTTATGTTCACAACATCAGTAAAAGTTAACGAAACGTCTGGATATTTGTTGCACTTCAGCAGTTGTCTAAGGTTTATTTCAATGGTTTAATTTGTAATAATAATAGTAACTTTAGAAGACTGTGTGATTATGTTCACACGTGATAAAAGCTATGAAATAATAATTTTTGTAACACTGGAAAGAGAGTTTACTTGTTTTGAAATGTGTTGATGAAATGTTTCTGGAACTGCTATACCATTATTGTTAAAGTACAAAGTTAAACCGTGTGTAGTTTACATCAGTAACATAGTGAGAATGTACACCTGTACAGTAAAACATAATGGTAATTTCTTTACGTTACAACACTCCGATAAGAATAAAACGTGCAACAATCTTATCAGCTGCATATTCCCAGAAAGCTGCGATAACACTCGTAGATAAGAAACACTAAAAAGTATAATAAGAAGCTTTCGGAGGAAACAGAAATAAGTAGGACAGGGAGAAGCATATTATTAACAAGGTAAATATCATTGTCTTTTATTACAGCCACCAGAATGTGGTATATTCTTTAAACACACTCGTCAAAGATTGTACTTGATGTGATGACATAGGCTCAGTGCAAACCATAAATTTGTCAAAATGTATTTATTAGTTTATGATCTTATTGAGTGTTGAGTACTAAGTTGGTTGATAAGGGTTCAGTGCTAACCATAATTTGTAAGTGGGGTTATATTAATTTATAACCTCATTGAGTGTTGGGTATTAAGTTGGTTGATAAAGGTTCAGTGCTAACCATTATTTGTAAGTAGAGTTATATTAGTTTATAACCCCATTGAGTGTTGGGTATTAAGTTGGTTGATAAAGGTTCAGTGCTAACCATAATTTGTAAGTGGGGTTATATTAATTTATAACCTCATTGAGTGTTGGGTATTAAGTTGGTTGATAAAGGTTCAGTGCTAACCATAATTTGTAAGTAGGGTTATATTAGTTTATAACCTCATTGAGTGTTGGGTATTAAGTTGGTTGATAAAGGTTCAGTGCTAACCATTATTTGTAAGTAGGGTTATATTAGTTTATAACCCTATTGATTGTTGAGTACTAAGTTGGTTGATAAAGGTTCAGTGCTAACCATAATTTGTAAGTGGGGTTATATTAATTTATAACCTCATTGAGTGCTGCTTTGGAATTATGATTATATGAGGTAT